GGGGGGGGGGGGGGGAGGTTCGTCTCCCCCACTCGTACTCGAAAACCTGTCTGAAGCCTGATCTACAACGTCATTGCATGCAGACGTAGAGCATGGAGCCTTGCAGCACGGCAATCACTTGTGTTGGAAGTGGGTGTGGATGGGGAAGGGGTTGTGCGAAAAAAAAGCTACACATGCACCCACCACCCGATAACCTCGAATCTACTGTGGGGCAGTGTATACCCCCACGAATCATCACAACCCTAGAAAAATGCACGCCGCACCAACAGCAAAGCTGTTCAGGACGAACCACGAAACAAACCACAAATGAACAAACAAAAAACCAGGCAGGCAAGACACAAGGCATAACACATACACACCTGGTCGGCAAACCCCGGTTAAAAAAAAAAAAAAGAGGTACTGTAGGTATAGGGCAAAACAGACAGGAAGGACACACACAGACAACTGCATTGAGACTGACGTCTTTTCATTGGCCAGCCGGATACCGCGGTCCATGCATGACAAAAAAAAAACACACACACACACACACACACACATGCACTTCCTGTTTCAGCCGCACTGTGACTGACCTCTTGTCGTTGGTCAACCGGTCAATTAGCGCCGATCGAGCTACCAACCAAGACCCACGCGCGCGCGCTAGCGTACCTGGCTGGCGAAGCCTGCCCTCTCGCACACCCGGAGCATTGTCTTGTAGCAAGTGTGCTCCGGGGGACGGTCGGCCTGTCTCTTCTTGTCCTCGAAGGTCTTCACGGCCTCCTCCCACCTCCCCCCCCGTCCGAGCGCCTCAAGTAGGGCGTGGTTGCTGTACCAGTCGCCAGGGATGCCGGCCTGCCCGAAGACGAACCAGATCGGGNTAAGGGTGTTCGGCATCTTGTGCTTACTTCCTTGCGCACGGATGACAGCTGCGACTGACTTAATTTATTTTCTGGTGCTTTCACTTCCAGAGACAGTTGTAAGCACTGTGTAACTGCCTCGAGGGTGCTTGACCATTTTAACACAACGTGGTGCGATCATCCCCCTTGCGCGGAGTGAGGGTTCTCGACCCCGCACAACATGATCCACTCGACCACCATTCATGGTTACCGCCAAAAAAGAGGAAGTAAAAAAAACGGTAACCTGGTTACCAAGGTCACGAAGTGAATTGGCTTGTCTTACAACGTCCTTGCCAAGCGACGATTACCCAATCCCGATGGCAAACAACGAGGGGGGGGGGGGGGGGGGGG